AAACAACCAGAAAACCTGACTTCCTGTTGACCCAAACGCTTGGCCAATCCCTGAAGACACTGGGGAGTGACTTCTGTTATACTGCATTATTTCTTTTTCTCGTAAACACATTTATCTGGAGCGACCTACCCACACCTCCCCACCCCCACCCCCAAAATGATACAAAAGGTGCAGTAATGCAAGCGATGTGAACAAGAGCATGAATACAGAGCAGCTATTAAAACGGGCTAAAGGAAACGCCAGTGTGATAAATAACATTAAATTGTTCCTCATAAACATTTATGGGTGACTCGGTAGATCCAAAGTCAGTTATGAAAAAAAGGGTGACATTTAACCTCACACAGCAGTATTTCAGAAGAGAACAAGGACATTTCAAACATGAATTGCCCTCAGTGTATTTTTCAATATAAAATCCACGCTGTAAAAATGAGATTTGTGAACTAATGCAGATGCAAACGCTTCCCGTCATTGAGCACTTTCTCTCCCGTCTTCATGAGACTTTCACACAGATAAAGCTGTTAGCATTTTCACCTAAAGCAACGAATGGCTTCAGCCTCGCTGCTAATGTGAGACGTTCGCACAATGACATCCTGGTCTAAAAATCTGCAATATTTCATTAGAGGATCTACTGTCAGTTTGCATGCTTAAGCAGTTTGGAAATCATTTCATACACAACATGAAGATTAACACGGTATGATAAAATAAAAAGCGTTGTTACTTTTAATGTGGTCTATACAAGTATTAAAAGTTTGGGATAAATATGTAAATTACGAATATTCAGAGCGATCAACCACAAAACCAACTAGCTTAAAGATGGTTTGTTGATTTCGATCCTTACCGAAACACGGCGAGTTAACTCTGCAACTCTGAACTATGAAAGGACAGTTGGATTTACTTTCCTGACAGGAATAGTGAAATTCCAAAAAAGAAGGTGAATTTAAGTAGCTATTCTGGCAGAATGTCACAGATAGTGATTACAATACAGTACAACACTTACAATCCCATCATGAACACTGGAACGGCTGTTTTCAGTGCTGAACACGACATATGCACTATGTCATTTTGTCACCCGCTCTGATGGCGTCGCGCGTCGTGACAGCGGCATCAAGCAAAGCGTGACCCCGCAATGGGGACTGACGCTGATGTGAAGGATGGATACGGTTTTAGCTGCCGCTCTCTCCTTCAGTAAAGGCTGCGCGTGCAGAAATCGGGCAGGAAGTAGCCATTTTAAACAAGCGACGTATAGGCTGATCAAGGCCATTCCGTGAGATAGCGACACTGTAGCTCTCTGTCATTGCCCTCGAACACCCTGCCAGTTCTCATTTATAAAAGGAAATGGTTTTTAAATGAATGGATATTAGCTTCTACCCCTGGGTATATACGCTAGACAGCTATATTACTCTTCATATAATGATTGATTTAAGCTGTTGTTTCTTTCATACATTTCTTTAATACATCTCACCATATGCTGGAATTTCCACGAATGGATATAGGCAGCAGTTTCTCGCCAAAGCTGGTTTCTCCGTGCACCGCTTATTTCGGGTATATGAACGTGGCCATGGCAACCGCGGCAGAAGGTGCTAAGATCCAGGTCCACATCGCTGGGAGCTCTGGCGGCTCGTGAGGTGGACATTTATGGGTGCCCTGGTCTCTTCGGGGTTAATAAAAAAGCGGCAGAGAAGGAAAGATTAAATTTGGCAATAGCAGTCTTTAAATGACTTCCCAGAGAGCCGTCTGATTGGACCGACGTAGATCAGTGATGTGACCCTTGTGTAGTGAACGGCCATTAAATCCCAAAGGCAGTACTTAGGTATGAGGTCAGGGACAGCGACGTCTCTGCGTCAAACATTGCAGAGAGGCTGACTTCAGTCACCTTAATTGTACGTATTTAACCGTACATACAACCGGCCCACTGCGCAGCAACTCACGTTAATTAAGGAGGAGTTAATCTCCCTCAACTCAAAACCCCAACCCTGCTGCGACTTAGGGATGCAGAAAGGAGTGTGGGGGGAAAAAAAGAGCGTAAGTGTGCAGCTAATTAATAGAATGCGATGCTTCTGAGGTTGCGGAAAGCCTTCAGCCTCTGCTGGGAGTTCGGAGGTGTCTTAACCACCTAAAAATAGCGCCTCAGTGGCCGAGGGCCCAGTGCCCCGTTAGTGACACTGCTGCCCACGTATCCGGCTGCCCTCCCCCCGCTGCGGCCCCTCCGCCGTCTTTCCTGCAGTCAGTATGTGTCTTTCCCCGCTTTTGTTAATCGCCTTTATGTCCCGCACGCCGGGGTGAACCGAGGTTCTTATATCTCCTAAAAAGCAGAGATTCGTGCTTCTAGTCAGTGCAGGAGAGTCATTCTCCTGGGGAAAACTGAGCAACATCAAGCGAATTCTTTTTGAAAAACGGGTTGAAGCCAGGTAGCTTTACGAGAGGGCTGCTGGGTAACGGGACGCCCCCGGGCTGGCATGGGTGGGGGGTTCACAATCCTGCACGGAGGCTGTTTCAGGTCCCCGAGGGAGCTCATTACAGTCCAGCCTTGCAGGGAGGGGGAACGGCGGTGCTGTAGCACAGAGGTGGAGGATGGGGGTGTATCTGAATCAATTACAGAGAGTCCAGGACAAGGATGACCCCCCAAGGATAGAAATTAATTTTAAGCAAAGCCGTGTAAATATTGAACAAAGGCAGCACTGTACGTGCCGGGACTCGCAAACGATGCGTTTACCCCCCCCCCCCCCCCCCCCGCGCTGACCTGCAATTAGACACGTGCGCTCACCATGCACCTAGCCACAATAAACCATGGCAAATCTGGATAGGCAGGTGAGCACGCTGTGTCTGTCTGCCAATAAAAACAACGCAATTTTCCCACAATCGCTGCATTCTCCATTTCATTAAAGTTACAGGCAGCTGGGGGACAATGTCATATTTACATTTAAAGTGTAAAAATGTATAAATCAACCATCAAACAAATTAAGCCAAGGTAAAAAAAAAAATCCCTCACGTACAAGCCCGCCTCGATCTTCTGTCGCTTGGGCATCTTATACGCATTAAAGTGTTTTATTCTGCTGTGCTAAAAAGCAGCACTGATGTTTCTGACTAATGGATTTTTTTCCACAACAACAATACCCCACAAATTGTTCTGGGTTGCTAATTATTCGGCTTATTAAAAAACAAATTTTGGGTTGCCAGGTATTTAGTGGAAACATTGGGGAATACAAGGACTAATTGTTATTTTGTGAGCTCGCATCACACTAAATCAATGAAGAATTTAAAGTAAATTAAATCAAATAGCTTATTTAATTCAGGCAGACTGCATTTGGCTTTAAAAACGATAAAACTCCAAAAATGATAAAATATCCCAATCAACATAACCCAATTCTCATTGCTCTTAGTATGCGATGAAAATTGTACAGCCAACTTATCTAGGAGAAGCCTACTTATCTACCACCTGACAGCCTCGTTAAGATGAGCACCCCCAGGTGACCAAGGAGGCCACGTTTAAAGCCCCTTTATAGACAAGTGTCAAAATAATATTCATCATTATATATAATTTTGTTATTAGACTTCATTTAACTTCATCATTATTGCTGAATTTGGTTAGAAATCAAATGAGTAAAAAGCATGCAAATGAAATCCATTTAAGTTCAACAGTAAAACTCATTTAGAGAACATTTTTCATTTTCACGAGAACCACATAGGAAATGTGCGGTTTCCTTCGTCCCTCCCCAGGTAAGCGTCTGCTCTAGCGGACCGCAGCAGTGACTTTGGCAGGCTCGCTCCAGTCCCGATACCAGTCCTAGTCCAGGTTCCGATCGGGCTCGGATCCCTGCTCCCTCCCAATCCACTTCACCCCGGAGAATAAATTACCGCCGTGCTAGGAAACCATGCCGCGGCTGGAATGGACGGTCCGCTCCGCGCGGCTGATTAATGCTGGTTCCGGACGCATGTTTGCGGTGCGATCGATAAGCAATTAGGACAGGGGCCTTGTGCAACAATAGCAGGCTGCTTTAATAAAACATGCCTGTATTGTTTGCATACTGAATTAGCTGGGGAAGCTCCTAGCCTGCCCCCCTGCCCAAGCCTTCCTTGACGTGTGTTTTATTACTCCTACGTTTGGATTTGGGAGTTTGGATGGCCAAGCTGCATGGCTGTTCTCCATGGTTGTGGGTTCAAATCCCACCCCGGCTCCATGTCTGCAGAGTCTGCAAATTCTCTCCTCATTGTATGGGTCCAAGGACACACAGCTAGCCGAACTGGAATCTCTATAGTGTGTGTGTGTGTGTGTGTGTGTGTGCCCTGCGAAGGACTGGCATCCCGTCCAGGGTGTGCCCCTGCCTCGTGGCCCGTGCTGCCAGGGACAGGCTCCAGGAAAAGCGGCTGGGAGACAGACGGATTACATTCGAATGTCTTTCACAAGCAAAAACATGGACGGCTGACAGATCCTTCAGCATCGCCATCTGTTTCACTCATGGACTTCGTTCCAGAGCAGCTGAACGTTTTAAAAATGAAGACACCCAGGATGTGTTCGCATTCATAAAACGGTCAAAGCAGCAAATGCACGTACAAGACGAAACCGCCGGTAATCCTTTATAAGTGGTTATACACACGGTGTGGAAAATGCGAAGGCTCTTATGTCTTCACAGGATGTGTGACTTTTTGGTAACAGAACCATGGAGTGGAATCATTCTGTCAGACCGCACTCTACCTTAGAGCTTAAAGGCTGCCCATGTGGCTTCATCGTGGTGCTTAAACGCTGCTCGATATCGGTGTTTCCCTGCCAGGTAACCACAGCTCCCCCCCCCAACAGCCCCCCGACTCACTCTGCTCCTAAGGAGTACCAGCAAAACTCTCACCTTCCTGGTGTAAAGCCACTGTACCTCCCGCAGATGGCTAGTGAAGCCGCGCTCCGTCGTCAGGGAGACGGCGAGCTCTTACCTCCGCTTTCTGGGGGCAGTGTGACGGAGGGCTGGCGGGAATGAGGGGGAGGGGGCAGATGAGAGGCGGACAGGTACCTTGCGTGAGAAGCTGAAGGTTGCGCACCTCCTCCCGCACGCGCAGCTGCAGCACCTGCTGCAGGATGCACTGGCGCTGGCCCTCCTGGATGATGCCCATGCGCTCTAGCTTCTTATCTGTCAGGCGCATGAGAGCCCGGCCTGCAGAACATGACACAGGGGGAGGGGGGAACATATTTACAGGCTCGACAAAGACCGTCAACACACCCACACTGCTCCTCCAGCGGGGAGCACCGCTTCTCAGCTGAGAAGCCCTCAGCAGGCAGGAGAGCTTCTCAACACAAATACATTTACAAATACAATCACAAATACAATCACAAATACAATCACAAATACAATAACAATACCGCATAAACCCCTAAATATTTCACCCCCATCTTCATATGACTCCCATAATTTTCACTGCTGCTTTTATCATTTGTAACCACACGTTATCATAAGGAACGGCACCCAGCCTCGAGCCCACCATGCCACGTCACACTGCATGCTGGGATTTGGAGGCTGCCCAGAAAAGCCTACGTCACACTGCATGCTGGGATTTGGAGGCTGCTCAGAAAAGCCTACATCACACTGCATGCTGGGATTTGGAGGCTGCCCACAAAGACCTTTCCCATCAATCTTCTCTGCAGGGCATTGACATGACAAGAAAACTACAGGTTTGTTCGTCATGCCTTTTAAAAGGCATAACAGCCCAAAGACATTTTCTTCTTAAATGAGGGATACAGGAGTAAAGGGAGGAACTGCACAACAACAACCACAAATCAGCGTAGGTACGGTAGTCTGGCTGTGAACAGAGATATGACAGTCGGTGGTAAACAAACGCTGAGAGTGTGGGAGAGGTGGAACAAACCAATACGAACAACTGCAGTCACCTGCCCCTCCGGACAGATGGTGCCCCCCACCCGTCTCACATAAGTACATTTGGGAATGTTAACTTTGAATTTTCAGACAACCCCTCTATCACTGGCAGTTTACTCAGCTGGTGCAGCACCCCAGTATTGCTCCAGAGTGCTGACACCCCCGCCCCCCCCCTCCGGGGTAGACCCTGCCTGCCACGTACTTCTAAGTGCTCCCCGGGGGCCGAGACCCTGCTACTCCTTCACTGTTATCGACCAGAACGGCCCCCCCCTTCCCTCACTCAGCTGAACACCGTCTGAAAGATAATGGTCCCTCCCCCGCCCCCCGTCATCTACAGATACATTAGGGACAGAAGGGGCACCTTCCACACTTTCCAGCTCTCTGCAAATCGCCGGACTGGCCAGTGCCCAGAGAAATGCTCTGATCTTCCCACCCTAGCATCTGCCGACTCCCCGGATGAAGGTATGGTTTCCCCTCATTAAGCATACAGGGTCTTACCTGAACGACCCAGCCAAGAAACTAAGGTGATAGCAGGAGGACGCCAATCAATAGTGATGTGCTGACACTTTATCATAGACTAAATCTGTGTGACAGCCATGTGTATAGACCGAGATTGTCCCCCACGCACAAACACCTGACTTACAGACGTCAATAAGACACTTCAAGGGCATAACGAAACACAATCAGCTTTAAATCCAAACAAGCCAGTCACGTCACGGACATCTAAGGACACTGTCTGCTGGCCAGTCAATTATTTACCCTGGGATTTGCAATATGGCACAGGCTGATTCCAGCAAAGTGGTTACTTTTTACTGTATGTGTACAATATTGCTATTACTTCATGCATGAATAATATTCCTCAATGTTGTGCCCTGTACTACCTATAGGACAGACCCCATGCTAACCTATCACCATAATCAGGATAAGAGGTTGGAAGATGGATGGATGGATGGATGGACAGATGGACGGATGGACGGACGGATAGAAAGTTGTGTATGGGTAATATTTCCATTCCTGGGACCTAAGATGCTGCTGTCTGCTTGAGAGATCCAGCAGAGTTCCAGCCAATGAGCAGCACCGTGTGGGCTCAGGTGACTAGCTGACCCGTGTCCGGGGGCCAGGGGCGTGGGTTCGACACTGTTCTGAGTCATTGATTCTCCAAGCTGTGATTAATAAAGAGAGCCGGGGAGCTTGCGCATTGGCTCTGGGGGGGAGGGGCGGCTGCTCTCCCGCTAAGACGGATGCATTGCCACCAGCTCTTCCACGGCAAGACAGAGGGCTCAGCAAAGGCGGGCAGGCTGGCAATTCATTTACAGTCCTGCCCGCCGACCGTGTTGCTCTCCCGGCTCCCTGAGCCGCCGCGATGCCGGCCCAAGGTTCACCCGGCGTCGTAATTCACAGCGGAGGCAGTGTGCACTTTCTCAGTGTCACCAGAGCCCCGTAGACGCGGCATTCGTCGTGTTTACACAGCTGAGGGGCGTTTTCGAAGCCCCCAGGAATAAGGCCAAGTTAAATTCAAATCACCGGATACGTCACCGTGAACAGGTGAGTCTGGACTTTCTGAAATGTGGTTAAAACCACGATTAATTACAAACCTGCATCTACCCACAGAAAAAGGCAGCTGACAGTCACGGGGCAGGGCAGTGGACGGCAAGCTCGCTGAGCACGGACCTAAAGCGACACCGCAATGCGTCTGCATCAGGGGCGGGGGCTGTGACCCGAATTATCACAGTTAATCGCGGTCACCTGACCCTTCCCCTAAAGACAGGCCATTTTTAAATAGCCAGGGATGTTAAATGCAAATTCACTTTATCAGTGCTCCCCAACCCCCCCACAAACCCCACTGCCCACGGGGCTTCCAGGGTCGACTCTGGGGGCCTCGCTGCGTTTCAGCACCAAAATAACACCCTCGGCGACTGAAACAAATGACAACTAAAGAACTACTTATACCAGTCTTTACCTCAGTTTTTAACTTTCCATACAGATACATTTATGTATATGACCAGCATACTATTTACTTAAGTGAGTCCAAACCTCTTTGAAAGCGGAAGCCCTTGTGGAAAATGTAGAGTTTACTGGATCCTTCAGACTGCAAGAGAAAGAGACTCAAACTACGCGATTTGGGGGAGGGGGAGGATCTAATTAAAAACCATGCACAGCAGCCCCCCCATAACCGCTAAACACACACAGGAGACTCTTATTCAAAGTGACGTAAACAGGTTATGTTTTTAACACTCCGTCGGGTTATACAGCCGAATGTGAACCGAGGCAATTCAGGTTAAGTGCTTTTGCTGAAGGTTAAAGTCCCTGGGGACCGACAGGAGCCTCGTGACTGCCCCCCCCCTCCCCCCATTAGCGCGATGGCCTGTGGCCCCCTGACACAGGGCTGCTTAAGCCAGTCAGTATCATGACCTCCCTGCTAGTTCAATACCGCCATAAAAATATTCGCTAATTACTCAGTACCACAATAATCACTCACAAGGTGCAGTTGTTTTTCTTGTTGTCGTTTTTTTTTTAATTTTAACTCTATCGATCATCCCCCCCCCCCCCTCCCTATTTTTAATCTGTGATTCACGGTTCAGAACATAAGAACGGCTGGCACAGATGAAATGCTGTAAAAGCAGCCACACTTTTTCACTGTAAAGTGTAAAAGTGGGAATTCTGGGACATGTGGATGTTCGCGGGCCCGTCGTCAGGCTGGGCGAATTCAGTCGGCGGGCTGATTAAAATGCAAGCTGTTCCTAGCTTTGACTTTCAGCCTCTATTCAAAAGGCACGCGATCTTATCCTCTCCGGGTTATTGCGGAAGCCCGGCACCCAGTATGTTTATACGGATTCTTAATAAAAAACCTTCTGCGTATAAAAGGGGAGTCCGGGTTCGAAATGCACACAAATAAGATTGTTCTAAAAAAGCTTAGAATTTCTTTTCTGAGTTGTTATCGGTTTAGTTCTGACAAATTAGCATTCCTTTCCAGACATCATTTTACCAATTCTAAATATTTCTGTTTATTTATCAAAAACACGAGATCGAGGCGCCCGTGCTTTCATCAAACACTCACATACTGTTTCAGTAACAGCTTGTTAGCGAAAATAACATCTACAGTGAAGGGACTCTGCCAGTCAGTGCAATGAGTTTTTATTCTCGCTATTTTACCGCGTCTTTGTTCTCGATGGTGTGGAGGACATCAAATCTGCCTCTCAGGTGAAATTCTTAAACGAGGAGAAATGTTTTGGTTTTTACGGCAGTACGTACCCTCGTGGGTTAGGCATCTATGCCAATGTGTGTAAGGTTGTGGGCTTGAATCCTATAACCAGATGAGTTAATCCCAATGGCTCCAGGGCATTAGACACTGGCTGATCCTGTGCTACGCCCCCAAAACTAACCCTCATCTGTATCTCCTGGTGTGTCGGTCCCTCTCAAGATGGATGTAAAAGATACCCAGTTTCCCCACTTGAATGAATGAAACAGCTCTATTAACTGGGTTTTTAACTGAACCCCGAGACAGAATCTGCTGATTCCCCATTTCACCCTTCAGGTTATTATGAAATAAACTGCTTGATGACTTTCGATTCAGGAGGTGTTTAGGGCGGAGGCCACACATGGCTATGCATTAGCGCGCGAGTTTGTGAGTTTGCACGTCACACAGAGAGTCCTCCTGCTGCCACTCTCTCACACACATGTGCACACGTACCCGCACAGTCTGACAGCGGCATCGAGACTCACCGCAGTGAGATTAATGCCTCGGCCGTCGCCGCAGGCGCGCTTGCCAAACAGCCGAGAGATTAATGGCCGACAGAACAGGACTGCAGCCTTCTGGAACTCTCCACATATTAATCTCCAGCTTTTCAGGGTCTCGCCCCGGCGCAGTCAGCCGGCTTGCTGATGAATGCGCGGGGCTTAATGCGCCCGTCTGAATGTGCCAGCCTCACCCTAGGGATCCCCCTCCCTCGCCCACGAGGCAATGCTAATTACGCATTTGTCCACAAGGTGGAGGGACGTGGTGGGAAGGGTGGGGGCTTCGGTTGCCCAAGATTACTCCTATGGGACTCAGCAGCCTCCACGAATAGAGGTGTAAGATTATAAATGAAACACGTTCACACGTATAATAGGGGGTACAGCATCGGCTGGACTCCGATGACAGTTCCTCACCGCTTCCCCGGGGCAAAGCCGGCAGCTTGCGACACCAAGGAGACTCGCCGACACCCGCGGGGCCATCGATCAGGCCCGGGGACTGCACTCTCCACATGGCCATATCGACCGCGTTTTTAAGTCACCGAGTGAAGGAAAAAAAAAAACACACACAATCATTAAATGGAGAGCTTTCTCGACTTGATGGGAAATTGTTTTGCTGACGGACACGCCATCGATCCCGCCGCCGAAGAGAGAAACGGGCGCTTGGCAAATAACCAAGCGCTCCGGTCCACCTGAATGCATCCGTTTCGCCTTTCCGCCCATCCTTATGTAGAAGCCGCATTAGAATCGGGCACGCAGTGACGGCAGGAGCAGCCCAGGAGCAGAGCATGATGGGAAACTGTCTGGGGCCGACCCACCAATGACGTTAATGGAGTCAGCACACGAGTCACCTGATTTACACCAGTTACAACTGATACCCTTATGGAGGGCAATTCATATAAATCCATCCTTCTTGTTCCCGGCCTTCTAGCTGCAAGACAGAGCCTATGGGACTCAGCTGGGACTCAGCTGGGACTCAGCTGGGACTCAGCTGGGACTCAGCTGGGACTCAGCTGGGACTCAGCTGGGACTCAGCTGGGACTCAGCTGGGACTCAGCTGGGACTCAGCTGGGACTCAGCTCAGTTATAACCTCACTACACATATGTAATAATCCATTTATTGGCTGCCTTTTGTCCCAGCAAACATCACATTCACAGGAACACAAGACACCATTGTACTATAGCATCTTGGCCCTTCATGGCTTATGAAGATCTTCATGGTTCGAGCCAATGACTGTTACTGCTCACAGGAAGCACATCAAGTCTTATCTACTCAAACAAAATCTTAGTCGGGCTGCAGGCGATCTTCAAAACTGGCTGGATGCTGTACCATCAAGCGTTTTTTTAAATTAAATAAACAAACTAGACTTTGACATATCATTCTAGGTTTTGAATGGATTCCACTCGTTCTCCAACTGCCCTAGGTTGATTTTAACTTGCTATTCTGGGATGGAAGACTTTTTCAATCATCTCATTGCCCTATTCATGCTTGAAAGGCTTACGGCTGTGAACCCTATCTAGCGATTATGCCTGCTCTAAATGTGTAGCCACACATTACTAGGCCATCCCTTAATCACCTGCCGCGTTTTAACAATCGTCAGAGATTAGGTGCTTTCATCTTATTACAGAAGCGCTTAGCATGCACGCACGCTTTAGCGCATTTTAAGTAAGACCATCTGTGGACAGAGCTACAGTATGGGGAGCGTTTCGCCATCAGACCGAGGTGAGACTGTGATTTCTGGGCGTCCTCCTCAGCCTTGCGGCCACTCGCACAGTAATGCAAAACGTGTAAAATCTGTTGCGATGCTGCAGATGGCAGCGATGCAAGACAGATGAAAAAAAAGGCATTTCTCAAAAATGATTTGAAAAAAAAAAGGCGGTAGATATATATATATATATTACATGAACCCCTGCATTGATAGTAAACTCGGACAGCTCTACGGAGAATGTGAAAATAACAGGCAACATCGGTGAACCAAAAATAAATGACAGACCAGAAGGTTTCCTGAGGTTGGACCACCAAGGCATACCAAGAGGCCTGCAGAAACACGATCCAGGAGAAGCTGTCCAGAGTTTGAGCTTGTGGGAGCTTCAGAGCGAGGAAACAATGCGGAGCCCTCATGGAACGGCCAAAACATCTGTATGGGATGTCAGCTTCTCCAAAACTGCATCAAGATGTCCAGAAATCTTAGAAAACGGGTAACAATGGGAGGTTTAAATAAAGACAGCCAGATTCTTTAACAAGAAGCCCAACTAAATGACTGAAGCTATGTCAGAATTAGGCCGCAAAAAGTCGTTCGATATGTTTTATAAAACCTCTCCCCAGTTTATGAGAGAACATTACAGACACAATAAAATTGCATTTGTACATTTTGTCTTCAGATCATTAGAAAACCACTTTAAAAGGTATTTTAAGCAGTTTTTCTCCCTCTTACAGGCCAATCAAAAGCAATACATGACACTGCTGAAGATTTGTGCAGACCATAAACAAGTTAAAAATTGTTATAATTATGATTCTGTGGCTACAGTATTGGAATACCACAATATTCCACAATAGTGTACTGATCTTGTCAGTTTCGATTTTTGTTAAAAAAAAAAAAAAAGAAAATCAGCAAAAGACACAAATTGACACATTTTTTAAATTAATACCTGATTACTGTTATAATATAATCCAATTTCAAATTAAATAAATGAATTAATAAAAGATTCAAGTTTGTTTACACGTGCCCTTAACCCCAATTAGCTTGAATACAGGGCTAATCAAATCTTTAAATACTTACCACGTACCGGAAATTAAAGCCGGTTACTATTACCAGCTATAAACGCTTAAGCAGCTTAAACCGAAACAAACATTGGCAAGGATCCCTAAACGTGAGCAGCATTTGTAGGAGTGCTAGAGTCTCACAGTGCATTGTATGCAAATCATATACTGTAGCAGACTAAACACCTAGATTATTATTCCATAACTAATAAAAGCACTAATTATGAAGAAATTGTCTGGAACCAATGCCAGCAATCCCCTCTGGTGCTGGACTGGAAAACCAGGAGTTTTATTTAAAACTCTGCCACAATAAATTATTCAATATCCATGCGTGGAGGCAGGGCTTGGTGCACAGTGTATGAGCTCCTTGGTTACCTCATTTGTAATGTTGTTGGCACTGCATGAAAACTGACATAAGACAAACAAACCAAAGATAATCATAAAATAAGTCAATTTAATAATGAAAAGCTGTGCCGAATGACCTCATCCCCAGAGGGGATCGTGGGACGGCGTTTGTGCGTGATGCTATCTGTCAGCTGGCGACTCTGAAACTTGTCAGCAACCTGACACACAAATCACCGTTTCCTATGCGCCGGTTCTCACGCGCCCGCTTTCGGCACCCATGTTAATCACAGCTGAGCCCTGGCGCAATGGCAAACCGCATCAGCGGTAAAAGCATACATCATCGCCGTCCGACATAAACACACCTGGCTTGCATTGTTTCCGGCACATTCTTCCAGCTCTGATTTATCCTTCCCCTGGAAGTTCATTTAACTTTGTTCTTCTAATAGCTGCGTAAGTTGTAATCAATCAGCTGTAGCGCATGGGAGAGAAAACGCGCATAAATTGTCTTGACGCTCTCCCGCTGTCTAGATATTATGGGTGTGTCTATTTACAGGATGTTGACCTCTTATTTTTAACACACAGTATGAACGCATAAAAAAAAATATAATGAAGTTGGCTTCTATTATGGAGTTGACTCACCATTATAAAACAACTTGCCAGGCCGTTCATGCTGACACACAGGAGCGGCAATTGTTTCATTAAAGTGCTGCTTTCGCAAGTATTACACACACACAAAAAAATAACACTACTACTCTGATGGTGCGATGGTCTGAGGACACGGCACAACAGACCAGGCTGGCCTCCGGATGGCCAACGGAGGCCCCACAAAATCAGCCCCCCTCTGTCTCCGTAATCCACTGCGGTCCGGGCGGAATTCTCCAGATCACAGAGAGAGGCTGTATAATCCTGAGTCATTCAGAGCGAGGATCCGCCAAGACCCGCGCGTCCTACGACCGTATGCTGAGATCCCCCCGGTACGATTTAATCTGATTTCACTAAAACGGAACGGAGCCGCGCCATTCCGCAGCATGAGCACACAATGGCGTGAGCATTACTATGCACACAATGTAGGACGTACGTGCAGAAATGCATTTGCATACAATAGCAGAATTACAGCAGTCGTGCTTAAAAGCAGCATTCATGAAGCGTCCGTGGCGGATAAAGAATGGAATAAATCAGCTTATATATCAGGGCAGCCTTAAATAGAGCAGCAGACGGCCTCCAGGACCAATTAAAAGGCCCACAAAGGAGGAGATACTTCAGTCTGGAGGACACACTCACTCCAGGATGGAGTCTAATGGCAAGTGGAGGTTGTATCTTTTGCTGAAGTCAGTAATGAACTTGGGGTAGAGTGAGGACTGACACGGGGGGCGGTACGTTGGCCAGAGCATCCGCCTTCTAATCTAGCTGCTCGTAACCTGACGGGACCCTCAGTGCCGCTAACGGCAACCATGGCGCTGGAATATTCAGCGAGCAATTAAAGCCTGCTGATAACGGACTAATTACTCAGGCTCGTGCACGGCGTTTCTCTCAAGCAGCGCAATTTTGTGTGACATTTTCACATCGCCATGGTGACCCACTCGACAACATTTAAATTAGCAAACAGGAAATAGATTCCAAAGAAACATACACACCGGCTGTTGATATGTCACGTTTGCTAATTACTAAATGGGATAAGGACGGCAATGATCTCGAGCATCAGGCACAGGGAGCGACTCTGGTATATATATATTTTTGTCTTATTGTCCGGCGGCTCATTAATGAAAATGCCGCAATTACTGCAGTATCAATTTGAATCTGTAGGGTGCCATTAAAGAGCTATTCCTGCCACTGCGACCCACGGATCGCACTGCAAACTGCATTACAAAAATTCGACTGGTGCAAAGCAGTGCGGGTAGCCCCCCATATTTGCTAATCGGAAGCTGTTAACTCGTGCTGGATGGGGTGCAGGTCTGAATTAAGTGTTTAACTCTGTATAAATCAATGCTAATTGGTCTACGAATTAATCACCAGCAGTGCGTCATCTGTGTGCCCATAAATGACAGCCCCCTCTCCCTCGCCCCCAAAGGTCACAGCATAAATTGTTATTGATCCCTGAATCGGCAGTCATTGCCTTGAGGGTGGGGGACTGCTAGCAGGAAACCATTAGCTACCAGAGAAGAGCCAGGGGATGCTGGGAAGGAAGCAGCATCGGGGGGTCATGCCTACCTGTGATGTCATGCTGCTTGAAGGAGTCGCTGTAGATCTGATACTGGTGCGGACAGTGCTTTTTCAGCCACTTGCATACGTCCTGCTGGGTCCAGAGGGCCACCGGTTTGGTCAGCTTCACAGTTCCTGGCTACGGACACCAAGAGGAAACAGAAGTAAGTCTCCAAGGAGCTCTGTAGACACGGCCTCACAATCCTCCATCCCAGGATGATATGAAAATGTACATTCACTGCTCCACATAATTTGCGCTCACTTTTTAAATCGTTTTGTACAATACAGGTTGTCCCTGGATTAAGAACATCAGACTTGCTGAAAACCAGTACAGGTGCTCCTTGCTTTACGGCGATTCGACTTGCGATATTTCGACTTTATGGTGGTGCGATAGATCAGACCAATCAAAGTTTCGATCTTTTCCCAGGCTTATCGATAAGCCATACAATACTTTCTGCTCATGCCGGGTGATGGTGACTTCTATGCAGCCATACTTCCAGTCTCTGTAGCCATTGCAAGCATGCAAAAATACATACAATACATACATGCATACATACAAACATACAGGCAGACATACATACATACAGGCAGACATACATACATCTCACATACTGTTTAACAACGTATCTTACAGTCACTTATTTATCATATCATATTCGGCTTACATATTTTCAACTTGCGATGGGTTCATCGGAACATAACCCCATCGTAAGTTGAGGAGCATCTCTACTTAAGATGGATCACCGTAAAGCCTGGTTCATAATAACGAATGCACGCACTAGTTTGTGACGCTCGTGAAAATACTGCACAGCCTCAGTAGTTCGTTAGCTTGACGTACAGCACAGTACTGTATTTAGTTACTTTGATCATTATTACTGTTGTTCTTATTTTTTTATTATTCAACTTAAAAACAGACTTAGGGAACAGGACTTGTTCCTAAACTGGGTCTGCCGATATTTTATTTGTAGTTTTGATAGGATCATGTGGTTAGCCTTATATTGCTAGCGAATCAGTGTCAATATCTAAAAGGATTATTTGCGTTAATGGTGGTTTTGTTAGAAATAATGAAGTGACAGTATGTGTGAAGTTATACATGATTATATACTTTTGGGTTCACTTGCTGGAGGGACAGCTAATAGTTAGAAGTATGGAAAGAAAAAGAAAAGTACATGAAAAAAAATGAGAGATGATTTGTGTTGGATTTTGTCCTGGACACAAGTTCACCTTAAATTCTACAAATAAAATACCCAGGGGGCCAAGGGTCCGAGCGTCCAACGCCCCCCCCATCTGTTCAGCTGCTCTGTTTGTCCTTTTCTGACAACCACAACGAATGGATTATTCTGACGCACAAAAATAACAAAATTATCTTTAAAATAAGTAAAAAAAACAACAATCCCCACTGCGAGACCCTGAAGTGTAGCAAGTCGTCTGGTGAAATCCACACTCAAATCGACACTGAAGCTTAAAATGGGTTCGGAAGCCATGTACGTGACTTCAGCACTGTTGCTGGGTAGAGCTATAAATCAACACTGTTCATGACACACTTGTAAACACACGCTTCGGACCGCATGCAATAATCTGGAGAGACGGGGATGCGTATCGCCATCAGGATGAACTCCGCCTCCCAGACTTCTGCGCTCCATCAGGGTCAAAATCTCCTGTGAGGGCCTGTGATGACATCACACCGCGTGTGTGATGACAAGCCCAATCGGAGAGGTGGTCTGCACTGTGGCGAGGTCCCCTGGCACCGGCGTATGCGTGGAGGGCGGGCTCAGGCCCTGGCTGCTCATATCGGAAGCTTGCATTCCCACAGTGCTGCCAGACAAACCCAGCATTCCATCCTCAGTGATGTCGGCAGCTAGATAAGAGGCACGGCGCTCATTTTCAGCGTGTCCGTCAAGGAACCGAAAACACAGAACCGCAGCGTTGTCCCAAAACAGACATTTCCTGGGGTGAGCTGTTTAAAAGTGCACAAAATCGGTCCTTTTGGATTCCATTAACACTTCTTTTCCATCCGGCCGCGGTTTGTTTCTAGAATAAACAGACGTCGTATCATAATTTCAGCATGCGGCCCTCATCCGGCGTGAGTCACGATGTGACTGTTCACCTCCAGGGGACAATCCCACATAAACCAGCCATAAAAATGCTAATTGCGGATGATAACGGAATAGCGACGGTCCACGCCTGACTGCGCATGGGCAAGAGTGGCAGCCTTATTAGGCCGGAAAGCAGCAGCCCGTAAACCTTTAAATATTTATTTATTCCTCTTAATTGCAGCAGAGAGATTTGGAACAAAAAGTAAACTTTGAAGCGTTTTTTCTTCTCCACTACAGGCGGTAAACACAAAAAGAAGTAAATATCAAAAAACTCGTACTAGCACATAGCTAATTAAAACTGGCTGGCCTGTATGGAAATCTCCAGAGCGGAGAAACACTCCCAATACTGAATTTTTGCACATGGGTATCATAATATTTACACTTTTGGTGCAAACATCGTCTCATGGGACAGGTCTAAAACCTGGGATTTTGGGCCTGACAGAAGCAGCCTGATCCTATAAAGCCTGTGTACGCGGAAGCATTCAGCTGTAATCTGAAAAGGCCACCAACATTTAAAGCAAGACATGAGCAAGTCGCGGACAGGAAGGTGGCATTTTAACGGAAAACCCCCACGTCAGCACAATGGGGCACATGTTGTGTGATGATGCCCTTCTGTCAGGCAGCTGGTTTTGATAAGACCCGGGGACCCCGAACTCTGGAAGCACTCTGGAAGACCGTGAGGCTCTGACTTTGACATCAGCTGGGCCCCATCCAACCAAAACAAGCCCTGCTCGTCTGCCAAATACCGCCAAAGGGCAGGGGAGCTTCTGCCAAAAAGCCACCGGGTGGCGGACGCCGGAGGCATGTTGGACGCTGATGCTCCAACGGCCTGGCGGGCATTGTGTGAAGTCAGGCTTGCAGGACTTGGACAGAAAGAGCACCTTCACCCCCCCGAAATGGGGCCGTGCTCTGCGAGGATTCCAGGGGACTGCGGGGTCAACTTCCTCAGCCAGTTGGACTCAACAGCTAGAGAGGATCCGCGGAGAAAAAACTAAACTCGAAGAGCGGAACTATCTGCAGGAATCAGATCGTGGGTCAACCTTCACCTGGAGCACCTGTGTGAGGACCATCTGGAGAGGAAGCGTGGATGCTGGGCATCGACACCACAGAGCGAATCCGGAACGCCCTCCATGGTCTCTCGGAAAATAGCGGTGTAAGTTTTTCAAGCTCGAGCCTTCCGGGCTTTCTTCTGTGACTCCTGCAAGCCGACACCTGCGGTAAAGTTGACATTTACCTTCCCGAGGGTCACCCGCTGTGCTCCGCGGGAAGGGGACAGCTGGTCGCCGATGAGGCCAGCGAATTCCGCCGGGGAAGGCGTCGCCGCGGGGAGCTGGTCAGAAGCAAATTTGCCAATAAATATAGTTCAGCGCTAATTAACCCCACCGTCTGAGAGCCGCAGGGAAGGCTGCGGGTGTGTGGTCGCTGCCAAAATCAACCCGAAGCCAGACGTTTTGAATGAAGTATGAGGTGCACCTCCGCAGAAGAGAGCGGCTGTTTCTCAGGACGAGACACGGAGTTACTGAATTGGCGACATAAAATCTGCCGAATTTTTAATATTTTCCAAATATAATCAAAGTATGAAGAACAGCGCTATTTCCAGCTTAAAACAGAGCTTCACTCCATCCTCCGCTTAATTAGCAGAAATGTGCTATTCAGGTATGCTACCATAGCAACACACCATGAAGAAAAACAAGAAATCAATACATATGCCTAAAAATAGACTCAAAAATGTCAATCTATTATACAAGTCTAATGATCAATTAGACGTTCCCATGCAACGGGAAAAAGAATATTCAAGAAACCAAAGTAATCTTGAAATACCCAGGCAAGGACAGGCATACAATCACGTGTTTAATAATACAACTTTAAACAACGGCTTCTTGGATGACTGAACGTGCTTCTCTCTATGGCAGGTGATTAGCAGGCTAGCTACAAAGATAACCGCGGGTATAATGTGGGGGTGGGCCCGTGGCTCTTCTGGCGCAGAGCAAACTCCGGTGACAAAGACGTTCATCACCATTCATTCGCCCCGGCCTTATTACTGATCAAATATGATTGCGTTCGGTGTATCTTCCCAGGGCCAAACACGGACATCGGATCTCGCATTCCGTCACGGTCCTTTCCAAACCTGTTCTCCTGCTGCCGTTTATCATTTCTCCCTCCCTTCCTGGCACAGAGAGCCATCTCCCCACCTGGAGCAGATCCTCCAGCAGGCTAAGACCGCGTAACAATAACACGCTAACTTGGCCTCAGGCTTCCTGGTCACACATTACGAAGGTGAAAAGCGAGCTGATCTTTCACTGGCCCTGGTTCCTGCGATCGGACCCTGGGGCGACAGTCACATAAATGTGTGGAAAGTTTAAGGGGCCGACAGCACACTGAAATATACGGCATTGTCAAAACGCCCCGCAAATGGACTCCTCCGTCGTAAGCGGGCCGGCCTCTCGTTCTGCCCCATCTTCACCATTACCGTTTTATCTTCAAACATCTTTTTAATTAAGCTCTGTTGGACAACGTAAGTCCGTGTTCCTTTCGGAAACTAGCAGTGTACACTGCCGGCTCCCAGAATAATGAGTGAGAGAGATAGTCTGGACGTCATATTTAAATTTAATTTAACCTGGTGAGGCCTGAGAACTTCAATGGCGGCAACCTGAACAAAGACCAGCTCTGCTTTGATTCCGGAAGCTTTCATCAGCCGTTTTCATCGTCACAAATTAAATCATGCTCTTCCTTTGATATTTAAGCGTAATAAGACAAATAACTTTATTGGTGCCCAATACCCCTCAAAAGCTTTTTATTTTCCACCAGGGAAGACATGTCCAATGAGCGACTGTAGGACAGAAGCAGCCAATACAGTAACAGATAGACAGAAATGCTGTAAATGCCACTAGCAATCGGAAAAATGAAACTTAAACCCTCAGGATTGTAGTTCCTGCGAGTTTTGAAACCTTGTTTTTCCCCCATACCTACCGTATGGTTGATTCATCAAGCAATCAAATCCTACTGAAGGCAATTCCTGTCGTTAAAGCACATTTTGAGTAAC